GTACCGCTATATACCGGTTTACCGGTAATATTGCACAACCCTATAAGAAAAGTATGAAACAGAACATCCCACGCCTGTCTAATAAAATAAAATTATAAGTTCTTCTGTTTGAATTACCTTGACCTTCACATTTCACCAAGAACTCCATGGGCACCATGTTCAGGCACAAAATATATGTTCAGACTACCAATGACATTATTCCTTTATTCAATCCTATTTCGTTTCCTTATACCGAATCATTGAGACCAATACACGTATATGTTGCAATCATATGGTGTTCAAATATATGTTCCGTGCTAACGGTTGTGTGGAAGTTGCAGGGACCTACGTAATTTCCTAACCAAGGTTCGACTTAACCGAAGATGTTGTGTAAAGAATGCACGGGGAGGAACCCAACTTGCACTTCGAGATAACCTTACGTTCGACACATCAAAGTTAGTGTCAGACTATATTTACAAAACATTTTATGTGTTAATAATTATCAACATGACTTTGAAATTGGACACAATCATGTCATATTATGAATACTGGTGTACAGGTTAGAGCGTCTGCCCCCGTGCGTCATACCAAAAGACGTTAAAATGTGGTACTTGTTGGTTCCTGCCTGGCGCTCGGCATTAATGGGTACAACAAGGACTGGTCGGCTCGGAGTCAGTATAATGTGTCTGAGTGGGTATTCATGCTTCACTGCGGCATGGTATCTCAGTGGGCTAGCACTATAAAACCAGCTTAAGTCTGGGCTAGTACAAGCAGCCGCACATACACATACACACGCATGCACGTCGTCATATGAGCGAAATATTCTCAAGCACGACGTTAAACCCAATTTCACCTCACCTCACCTCCTATAATGCTAATACAATAGAATTACGACAGCTGGAGGCAGCCAGAATAGTAACAGGCTTAACCAAATTTTCATCACGTCAAAGCCTATATCATGAAACTGGGTGGCAACCTCTAGCGCATAGACGACACGTCGACTTACCTGTACATATGTATAAAACAATTAATAATCAATGTCAATCATATGTTACCGATCATATACCACCATCTGTGTTAGAAAACACCAAATATAATCGCTGGAATTGTCACAACTTTGTCATACCTTTTGCACGGACATCCGCGTTTAAAAGATCCTATATTATAGATACATATATTATGTCAATGGAATAGTCTAGCGGCAAAAGTAAGTCCGTCGGTATCTTCTTTTAAAACTGTCGCATCGGAGCAATCCGCGTTGTTGCCCCGACATACTAGTATTACAATTGCGATAAGAGATACACAAATGTATTGCACACTAGATTGAGGCATAGTTGCAGCACATTAAATTCCGACCTGTTTCGGGTTAACTTATCTGATATTATTGCCTGTCAATGTGGCGCGCCATGCGAAAATTCATTTAATTTCTTTTTCGAATGTACTTTATATGATGACTTCAGAAAATTGCTATTCTCAGATAATTTTATATTTGGAGGACACTGCACACTATCTTATTCGGTGACCCTAAAGTAAACTATTTGATGAATAAAAATATATTCCTGTCTGTAGACAAGTATATTGAATCTACAAACAGATTCGCCAGCTAATTGTTTCCAAACTGTTGTTATAGTTCTGTCTATATATACATGATGTATTGTATAGAACTTGCAAATGTATGAGATGCACACTTTTCACACTGTATATTTCACTGTCAGCACTGTATATATCCTGTAAAACACTGTATAATTTATCCTGTAAAACACTGTATATATGTATATCAACACTGCATATGTTTCCTCCATGTCAAGCTTCCACTGTAAATTGTATCAACTGCACACAATGTCAATTTTATTATGTAATATCATGTTCAACTGTATTTAGGGATAAAAAAAGGCGGCCATAAGTGGTGCACTTGTGCCTAATCCCGTTGTCTTTTGGACAATAAAATATGTTTAAACCAAACGGCATGAAAATGGTAGATGATTTTCCTGTGAATATTTTGAAAATATTCTCTTTCTTTAGTATTCCACTTCTCCGTGACAGTCAAGATAACATATTCTGTGAATGTGATTATCTCTGAAGTAAAAGGACATGTCGAATATTCATCAATAGTTCGTGCGTGTTAGTTTTTCGTCGCTTTTAGCAATATTCCAACAATATCACGGCGGGGGACACCAGAAATGGGATTCACAAATTGTACCCGTTCATATCCTTAAATTACAAATTATATCATTTTACAAGTGTCATGTGTGTGTGGCAGAGTGACTACACATTTTATCGTTGATGTGTGCCGTCTACATTGACCTCGTGTTGTGATTTACTTCCTTGTTTAAAACACACTGACCTGGTGTGATTCAGACGAAGGCTGCACAAAAGGTAAGTCTCTTCCTTGTAATTATTTCTCAGCACCAATCTCAGGTGTACCAAAGGTGGTCTCAGACCTGGTACAGGTCACGCTGACATGGAGGTATCACGCCGTGATATACCTGAAGTATAGTCCAATGTGTTAAAATTCAACATTACCGTCATTCTTATTCACTTAGCCTGACAATACAACATCTGGCATAGCGATAAACATATTTCATTTTCTTCACAGTATTATGCATTAACTCGGTGTCTGACGGAAGAGTTTGCATGTGATTGAAATTACACTGTGTACATGACAGAATAAGAAACAAATAAGTTACATGCAATGAAACCAACTATTGGTTACACCTACTTGGGTTGTCAGTCCAGATTTGAAGAAGTCATTATGCGACGATGTCGCATTGGCCATACGCGTTATACTCACAAATACTTGTTAAAAGGTGAAGATCCTCCGTTTTGTACCCCTTTTGATGAGAGAGTCACGGTCAAGCATATCCTGCTTGACTGTGTTGAATTCTCCATCATAAGGGATAAATATTTCAGTGTGAAAACAGTTAAGGATCTTTTTACTTCTGTTAATTCTCATTTAATTATTGGTCTTTACAAGAAACTGATTTGATTGATGAATTCTCATTAATATGTTCTGTAGATAGATGTATTTAAAATGATTGGTAGTTTAGATTAGTAACTTAGATTGTTAGTGGCTGTACCCTCAAAGGGGTTGAAGTAGTGTAAAATGATTGTCCTCCTGAGAGGGTACATAAGTCCCAATGCATTCACAGTAAATTTAAACCTACTACTATTTTAAATCGTAGTATATATGTTATTTTAATCTATGGCTAGATTTATCTTAATTGCTAACGGCTGAATGGATGGTGTAAATCCAGCTAGGGTCCGTGCAGGTAGCAAGAGTACTGTAAGTCCCCATGGTCCCTAGTATTGTGATCTATCTTCAGTTGTTGGCAATGTATAGCCTTGTTTTATATTGTATCGTCCTCTATAGTTAAAGTAGTTTAGGGTTAATTACTAGTTTTAAATCCTTTGCTGACAGTTTTTTTTATAATTTACCTTTATCTTATTGTACAATTATAACTCGTTTGTAGTCACGATATGGCTGAAATATTGCCGATGTGACTAAAAATCTTAACTCACTCATTCAGAATAAGAAACACAATGCTATAACAGAGGAGGTCGTGTTAAGTTAAATGTGACATCTCTCAGGAAGGTCAATGTACAGTCCCGTGCATGCCATCTTGTCGTTCTGTTTGCAAAATGGATTTCAAACACACACGCACGCACGCACGCACGCATGCGCGCAAACGCACATGTTTTACGGGTTTCATTGCATTACTTTACATGGAGAGTCGCCTCCGTGCAGCACAGTATGACCCTCATTAGAGTCTTTCGCTTGGTCACCACCGAGAAATACCCACGTCTCTAGCGATCTGGTCCTGTCAGGTAGCACATGTCTGGGCATCAACGTAGTTATTCCGCACTTGTAAACATCTGCAAATAGATTATTAAGCAAGAAAGCACTGTAATGCATGTGTCGATTTCCTAAGTGAAACATTAAGTTTATTCAGAAATCTGTCATTAAAAGAATTCGGGGTGAAACCAAAATTATTAAACAAAATACGTTTACAAAACTATGTAAATTACTGAAGGTTTTGTATTGTTATTGATGAGCGACAGTACACAATCCGGTTGTAGCACAATTGCATTGGTAGTATAACATATAACAGCAATACAACTAGCAATTAAGCCTTGGCTAATATCTTCTCTCAGCAGTAACAGGTGAACCTATGATCTTCACACAACCGCTCCTCTGGGGTTTTCATGTGATATCATAGGGCCATGCACCTGTCCTCCTATGTAGTCTACGTACGTTCCAGAGTGCCCCACAGTATGCTGGATTAGTCTATGCTATAGTAGAATGTTCCAGATTTCGTTTGACAGCAAAAGCATCAAAACATAGTACTTCAACACCACTGTAATACACACAGGGCAACTAAAGATTGTCAAAACACAATGTTATAAACCTACGTTGAATCTTCAGCTTTAAAGTAGTTTCTGGTGGGGCACCTCACCTGCATTATTTTAAAATCGTGTAACCAAATTCATCGGATTGGGTTATCTATGCGATGATACAAGTCAATATAATGGATGGATGCAAATAACCCATATATACTGAACCGCAAAACCGATACAGGTTTCTTAAAGCACACACTTTAATTCGCGGTAATTAACAATCAAAACGTATGATTGAGTTCAAACTTGATAATTATGGTTACAACATTTTCGCGAATCACATTTAGTTCACACAAACACAATCACCAAAAATGGTACCATTAGGATGCCTCAAAGTCAGTATCGTGTGTAGCCTCCCTGAGCATTGATTACGGCGTTGCATTGTCTGTACATGGAATGAATTAGCCAGTTGATGAAGGCCATAGGCACTTGGGTCCAGACTCTTCGAAATGCCTGATCGAGCCCAACCACAGTTGTCGGCCTCGGTTGAAGGTCATTCAGTCTTTGAATCTCGTCCCAAAGGTGTTCTATTGGACCTGAATCCGGACTGAGTGCCGGCCATTGTAGGGTTTGGATGCCATGTTGTCCTAAGAAGTCCAATGTTGCTCTGGAAGTGTGGGCAACTCTCTGGTTCAGACCGATTGCACCCCACACCATGATGCTTGGACCACCCACGAGTCTCTTTTCAACAAAACACTCATTGGAAAACCATTCTCCACGCCTTAACCATACTCTCACTCTGCCATCGGCTGTCGAAACACAATATCGGCTTTCATCAGAAAAAAGCACTGTTCTCCATTGTCGATGACGCCAATTTCGATTCTGAGTTGCCCATTGCCCTCGGTCTTGACGCTGTGATGTTACTGGAGGTCGCCCACTGCGTGGACGGTCTTGAATGCTGTTTGTGACCTGATACCGCTCCTGCAATCGGTTGATTGTTCTAACATGACATTAAAATGATTGGATACCCTCCGTGCAGTCTGGCCAACTTTTAGTCGTCCCAAGGTTTGGTTCCTCTGATCTCTCGTAAGTCGTGGTGCAGCGAATGTGTCAAAACAAGAATGATTTCAGGCAAGTTTGGGACTCTTTATCATTGGTAGGGCTGTCACGATATGCACGCGCAGTTTCATTTTCTCGAATGTCTTACGGAATCTTTTACCATGTCCGCCTTTTATGGTGCGTTTGGTCTATATGCTTTTTCGTTAGAAAACACTCTGATGTTGGTAATAACTGTCAATATGGATTGAAAAACATGTTGATATAACAGTACAATCATAATAAAAACACCACCTTGGTAGAACAAAATTGTGCATTTGGTTTTGAAAGGTGGCGTTTCTTTTCGGTTCAGTATATTACACACCCTTTCAAGATTTATCAGAGTTCCCTGCTAAAAGCAGGGTTGATTGGTCGATTCCGACGATATCCAACAATTTAAACAGTGATGATACCAGGTGTTGGCGGAAAGGTGAACGTATCCTGCCCCAACGATGACACCGGTCATAAACACACGCTAAGACAATTCCATTGTACATCTGAAACAATAGGTACATGTGGTACATGTCCAAATGATGAATTATGTGACTGTTGCGCCAGATTTGGACATGTCCTCCACATGTCTACCATAACCAATTGGAAGATTTACTGTAACCTTCAATGTTGTAAATCTAATTAAACAACTTTAAGCAATAATTGTTCGACGCTTTTTTTTTTTGAAATACAGAAGTTGACTATTTGCATCGGAGTAGGCATGTGTGTTCACAAGTAAATAAAATGCACAAAAAGCACATGGAGAACGCTGAAAGAGAATATATATGTCTAGTGTGTTACACTGCACGGATGTTGATTTATATACCTACAATGTAAACTTTGTCGTCGCCCACCAATTCTCCAAAGGACTGGCACGAGTTAGTTTCTGAAGAACAATACAGAGGTTAGCAAGCTGATACTCGGGATCTGTTTTTCGAATTTTGGGAACACTTGTTTGCTTTTGCATGATTTGAACAATGCGTCAGCTAGGGTTTATGTGAAGGAATAGTCCAAAGTGTTGAACACTAGGTATAACTGTAAACAGTGACCTTACGTATTCATTATGTCTGCTTCGACGAAAACCATTGTTACGTAATAATGGATACAGTTTGTGTAAGAACAAACAGCTGGTATTGCTTTCCTCATCACTCATTCTCGATTGGTATGCGCGAAGGTTAATTGTTCAAAATTGACACAAGTGATTCTATCTATATTTTGATATCCTAATGTAGCTTTTGGCGCTCGTTATAGCCACAGATGACTGAATATTTAACTGAATCTTCCTCGAAGCAATTTTTGCACTTATTGTACAAAATGGCATCTAACAAGTAGTTGTTTTGCAACCTATATGGTGCATTAGCTTTATTCCCTACTGTATCCTGTGATTACCTTTTTTAATTTTCATTTCATTACTACAAATCAAGTTTGTTTCAGTACCCGACCTGTGTAAGATGAGTTCTGTTATCTGTCTGTTGGTGATCATCCAGGCCGTGTCGGTTACAGCTGCACAAGGTACAATTGAGTTATTTAGATTCCTGTGTTGGTATTCCGAGTTAGAGTAGGGTCCTGACAATCTATATGTGTACTTCTTAGCGGTGGCCGAATAAACTGTGTGAACAGATGAACTGATTGACTTTTGTCAGATCACCTTGACAGAAAGAGTAAACTATTCGAATTCAGAGCTATGAATTATGTATTCCACTTCACAATCTGCTCTGTCAGTATGTTACTTATATGTTACCCGAGGACCAGGATCAAGTTGTCACTACAAGAATGGATGCAGTCCTGCCCCCGACGTGTGTTCAGTGCCTCCTCCAGCTTGTCAGACAGACTGGTCTGGAAGGTACTGTCAGATACGTAAGTTCTAGACTGCTATGTTCTAGATGTTATACATAAACACCAAGCATTGTTTATCTGTTTTGTTTGTTTATATGATTATCTATTTTTTGTGTATTTACTAATTTACCTACCTATTTACTTACTAACTTGTCTGTGCTTATAGTCGAACACAAAAGAGATTCATGCCACGAGGTGGAACTGCTTGATATTTGGACATTTATGACGATATTGTTTATAACATCAAATTCAAGGTCATCTTTTGGCTTCAAGTTTTGTGTTTAAGTGATGCTCGGAACCGTATTAAAGTCACGATAATGACACAACTACAGTCCAGAATGACAATACGGAATGTATCGTCTCCTGCAATACCGTAACCATTCAATGACTAAACCTTTTTAGTAAAACATGTTGATGATTCGCTGCTTGACATGCATGGGTAGAGTGCCAATATATCTTTGGTATTTTGTTGGAAATAGTTATGTTTATCGGGAGTAGATCATTCGTGTATGGATAGAGGAGACATAGATGAGAGTAGTTCCACTTTAGTCCTCAGTCGAATGTGGAGATGAAGCCAGTATAGTCAGTAATTACAAACAAAATGTAAGCAAAAATACATACACTCGCAGGTAATGGCATTTGATTGGCTTACAATGCGCAGTAAGGTTCCATGATCCTAAGACCCATGAAGGTCCGGGTTAGAATATTGATCTTCAATAACCCATGCTTGTCGTAAGAGGCGACTAACTTGATCGGGTGGTCATGCTCGCTGACTTGGTTGACACATGTCATGGGTTCCCAGTTGCTCAGGTCGATGCTCATGCTGTTGATCACTGCATGGTCCAGACTCGATTATTCACAGACCGTCGCCATATAGCTGGAATATTTCTGAGTGCGGAGTAAAACTTAACTCACTCACTCACTCCATGATCCTAAAACAGTAGGCAACACCTATTAGCAGCTTTCGTAGGTTTGTTATAGTTGCTCGGTTTGTCACGTTGGTAAGCAAGGCCTTGTGTTGACTTAATGTGTTTGTGTTTTAGGTTTAAATAATTGCTTTTGAAATGGTGGTTTACATTTCTTTTAAGAATTAACTTTGCGTTTATGGATGGTACATGTGGTACATAGCGGTAGTACGCATAGCGGTGGTACACATAGCAGTGGTACACATAGCAGTGGTACACATAGCAGTGGTACACATAGCGGTGGTACACATAGCGGTGGTACACATAGCGTGGTACATGGGTGGTACATATAGCAGTACACATAGCGGTGGTACACATAGCAGTGGTACACATAGCGGTGGTACACATAGCAGTGGTACACATAGCGGTGGTACACATAGCGGTGGTACACATAGCGGTGGTACAATAGCAGTGGTACAAATAGCGGTGGTACACATAGCGGTGGTACACATAGCAGTGGTACACATAGCGGTGGTACACATAGCGGTGGTACACATAGCGGTGGTACATAGCGGTGGTACACATAGCGGTGGTACAATAGCAGTGGTACATACATATAGCAGTGGTACACATAGCGGTGGTACACATAGCAGTGGTACACATAGCGGCGGTGGTACATAGCATAGCATAGCAGTGGTACACATAGCAGTGGTACACATAGCAGTGGTACACATAGCGGTGGTACACATAGCGGTGGTACAGCGGTGTTACACATAGCGGTGGTACACATAGCGGTGGTACACATAGCGGTGGTACACATATAGCGGTGGTACACATAGCGGTGGTACATAGCGGTGGTACACATAGCGGTGGTACAATAGCACTAAGTGGTGCACATAGCGGTGGTACACATAGCGGTGGTACACATAGCGGTGGTACACATAGCGGTGGTACACATAGCAGTGGTACACATAGCGGTGGTACACATAGCGGTGGTACACATAGCGGTGGTACACATAGCGGTGGTACACATAGCGGTGGTACACATAGCGGTGGTACACATAGCGGTGGTACACATAGCGGTGGTACACATAGCGGTGGTACACATAGCGGTGGTACACATAGCAGTGGTACAGTGGTACAATAGCAGTGGTACACATAGCGGTTACACATAGCGGTGGTACACATAGCGGTGGTACACATAGCGGTGGTACACATAGCAGTGGTACACATAGCAGTGGTACACATAGCAGTGGTACACATAGCAGTGGTACAATAGCAGTGGTACACATAGCGGTGGTACACATAGCGGTGGTACACATAGCGGTGGTACACATAGTGGTGGTACAATAGCAGTTGTAATAGCTAATGTAATAACTAAATCTGAGGTTAATATATCCACTCAACAGAAACTGGTGAAACCATTATCTTCGTTATAGCTCAGTATTAATCTTAGCTCACAACTGACATTGACATTAACTCCAGAAAGGTGTGTCTTATGAGGTAACATTGTGTGAGCAGAATCACAAGGTAAGCAAACCTCAAACCTCATACTTAGGTAGGAAATATGTTTTACGTTTCTATGAACACAAAGTATACTTTCATTGATATGGCCTAGATACAACAAACACACACTCTATTATTTATACCATTACTGTTATAACATGTTATCGTTTTGCTGACAGATAACATCGCACATGGTAAACCTGCCAGTCAGAGCAGCACATGGACAGACAGTACCGGTACATATGATGCCGGTAAAGCTGTTGACGGGGATTTCAGCACAGACTGGAACAGTGGTAGTTGTTCACATACAGACGAACATGGTGGTGGGAATGCCAGCTGGCATGTTTTTCTTGGTGGAACGTTCCTAATCAGCCGGATGACAATCTACCTCCTTAGTGACGGTAAGTTGTGTTCTCTCGGTTTTACTAATAAATGATCACTGTAATGATGAACTGTAATGATGAACAGTAATGATGAACTGTAATGATGAACAGTAATGATGAACAGTAATGTGAACTGTAATGATGAACAGTAATGATGAACTGTTATGATGAACAGTAATGATGAACTGTAATGATG